AAATAAAAATATTAAGGAAAATTAAAAACAAATAAAACACAGCAAATTTAAAAGAAACACAACATGCACCCACTCAAAGCGGGGCTGGACCTCAATCCAGAGGTCAACAGCCCCAGGCCTGCGAGGTTTTGATAGCTTTTCAGAAGGCCATGAGAGTGGGTAGGGTCCGGATCTCAGGGGGTAGCTCATTCCATAGGGCCGGAGCGGCAACAGAGAAGGCCCTATTCCGAGGCATTGCCAGCCAGCATTGTCCAGCTGATGGCACCTGGAGGAGGCCCATCCTGTGCGATCTTATTGCTCTTAGGGAGGTGTGCGGCAGAAGACGGTCTCGTAAATATCTGGGTCCTAGGCCATGTAGGGCTTTAAATAAGTCTACTGCTATATTTAGAGGTGATAACCAGCACCTTGAATCGTGCTCGGAGACCAATAGGAAGCCAGTGCAGCTCGCGGAGGATAGGTGTAGTGTAGGTGTACCTAGGTACACCCAGTATTGCTCGCGTGGCTGCATTCTGGACTAATTGTAGTCTCCGAACACTTTTCAGGGACAGCCCCATGTAGAGCACTTACAGTAAGTCAAGTTGAGCCTGTTTAGCTGAGGTCATAAAAGTCATGATTATGTCTAGCTGAAACTTTTTTTATTGTTATGGCTGTAGAAGAATGGAGGCAGCTAAAACTGTAGATAGTTGAGTATCTCTTCCATGTGTCAGTGATAATATTTTTTAAAAGCCCTTGCCTATTTATATTCAATAACTTACGAGCAGTTGGGGAGGTAAAACTGTGTGTTGGGGATTCATTTTGTGAGTTTGCACATATTTTCTAACAGAAGGATAAAGGAAAATATACAACAATTCTCAGCATGTAGAGGTTTGGAACTCGTCTTTCTCCATGTTTTATTTGGCAGTAGACCAGTGGTCACAGTAGCTCTTCCTGGCCTTTGCATCAACCAGAACAGTGCCATACTGTTCAGTTCTTGGCACAGGATTTTAGCTACTCTGAAATGAAGAGCAGAAAGATTAGCTCCTAACTGTAGAACATCTGGAATTGTTGTTCATGTATCAAATATCTGCTTCCAGTGCTGGTAGAACATATGTGGGAAGATAGATACATGAACTGTGTATATGAAAATGTCATTTGTGCATAAGATTAGAAATTTGGCAGTTGTGCCTCCGACAGTAAACATCAATAGTTTTTTTTCTTCTTCTTTAACTTCCAAATTAATGATACATACTGTATCCTGTTAACCATGTTGGAAATATATGGGGACATCAGTTTGTTTTGAGTCAGAACTATGGTTTGGACCCATGTAGGATTCTGCCTTGATGTCTCACATATTGGCAGCTTCAAATTTTCTGTCCTCTCTAAAGGCACTTTTCTCCAAGAGAAATGTTTCCTGATAGTCTTTAAGTGCAACTTGTGCTTGTATATATAAATATTTAGATGAAAGTTAGATGAAAGTTTAGTTCAAAGGCAGGGAGCTGAGACATTTCATTGTGCCCTCATCCCCAGTGTTTCCGTGGTGAATGTTCTCATACAAAACAATTCACCTCTTTCCACTTCATTAAAATGATCTCACCAAACTTAAGTAATTTGAAACTAGCCATTATTTTACAAGTCAATGAAGCTGCTGCATCAAATGATGGGGCACATTTCTCTGCTCCACATCACAGGTGTTATTCAGTGATTCAGATGAACTGGTAGCTCCAAAAATCAGTTGGCCCCACCCACCCGCCCCTATCCTGCCCTTTATTTCCTGCTTTCTAGCTCATCTCAATCGCGCAATACAGCTGATTTATGCCCCCCTCGCTGTTCTACTTACCGTTGCTGATGTGGAAGGTAAGCAGCTGAGCTTCTGAATGCTCCATTTTCAGTACTGCGTGTAAGTGCTTTAGGCGCACATGCATGAAGCACATGTGTGCCAGAGGTGGTTGCTCCCACTTTGGCCCGGATCGGACGAACTGATAGTGGTGGTGGCAGGAGGCTCACGTGCCCGGATGCATCTGCACACGCATAAGTGTGCACATGCACACAAGCAAACCAATAGTAAAAAATATGGAAACCCACCCCTGGTGTGCACGCATAAAGCGTGCACTCACTGAACCAGTGTTAAACCGGCAGCATCTCACCACTGCTCCACGTGTTAATATTAAGGATTACCTCTGGTACAGAAGAGAATCATGTTTCTTCTGTGCTTATAACACAGAAAATTAAATTGCCAGTTGATCCATTGTAGCAGTGTAGGGTTGTAAGAATATTGTAACTCCATGGGCAACCAAAATTCTATGCATCTGAGGCCTCTTTCATGTATTTGTTTGAGAAGATAAAGCTAGAATGAATGAACTGGTAATGAAAGTCCTGAAATATCAATGTCATGGGATTTATGTCAAGATGGTATTGCCACAAGACAAGGGCATTCTAGGCATTGTGTGGTCATAAATATGCTCTTACCTCAATAAGTGTGCAGGAAGTTTTTTAGAAAAGGAAAAAAGAAATGCCAGCCAACTCATTCTTTTAGTGAAGTAACTCCAGTTCCATTGCAATCCTCAGTCCTTATAAATTATTTTAAGGAAAAGACATTTCTGTTGGGATTCATCCCTTCATGAATTTCAGTGGAGAGTAGTACTGAAATTTGCTTCCAATTGAAATTTTTCCAGGATAAAATTCCTTTTGCTGATGGAGTTAGCAACTAATAAATAGAAGTAATAAGGTAACTCTCCTTCTAGTAAAGTTATATTTCTTCTTTTTATTCATTCCAGTAAAATCTCTGAATGGTTTACAAGGAAATCAAAATAATGTATGTACACATACACAATGGCAGTTTCAGAGCATTTACACACAAACAATTTAATGACATTATTCAGTCATTGCTGAATGAAGAGTCTTCGTATCATCACAGAAATGCCAAAGGTCACAAATAACCAGTAAAATGACAAAAATTGGAAGGCAATAGTCAAAACCATGAAATGAAAAATCTTTCCAGAAGGTGAAGGGGAAGAGATGGATTCAGAGAACTCCCTCAAAAGAAATACTCATTGCATTCATGCTGAAGAAGACTTTTCTTTTGGGTTTTGGTATCATTTGAAATCTAATCAACCAATTTCATTGTATACAAACAATTTTTTTTTTTTGTTGTATACATGATGTACAATGACAATAAAGGCTATATACTATACTATGACATGCCTTACAAAATGCTTTCAGATCCTAGTTTAAAACATCTAATGTCCAGAACTAACTTACACTAGAACTTTTTCTTTTCTTTTTTTCAGATCCTGCAATTGTGAATGGAGTTTACTGGTCTGAATCATTAAACAAAGTGTTTGTTGACAACTTTGGCCATGACCCTTCCCTTATATGGCAATACTTTGGAAGTGCAAAGGGATTTTTCAGGCAGTATCCAGGTAAGACAAAAATACATGTGCTTCTTTTTTGTCCTACTTTTTGCATGTACTACATGCATTTATTTGCTGTTAACAGAGTAGCAGCAGTCAGTTACTAATGGCATAGGGCAATATAGGCAGCATTGGTGGAAGTACCGTATTTTTCAGAGTACAAGATACACTTCCCCAGCCTAAAGGAGGCTGAAAATTTGGGTGCATCTTACACTCCGAATGTAGCCCCACCCACACATCAGCCCCCACCCTTCAGCTTCCATGCATCTTCTTCCTGGCTGCAGATATTTCCACAGACAATGGTTTGCGTTTTTGGACTCCACACTTCATGTTTACAGCCTACAAACACTCTGTTTGAGAGCCGTTGAAGGCTGCACATCGCCACTGATCGCCCCCTCCGCACATCATGTTTTCAGCTTCTGCAAATGAGGTTTTATGCCTCTGCACACCCCATTTTTGGCCTCTGCAAGTCTCATTTTTGGCCAGAGATCGCGCATGCTCACAACCAATGAAGTAATGTGCTGAAGCTGACCAGGCTAAGGACGCTAGCCAGATGAATGGTAACCAGAGGCAGACTTTTTTTTTTTGCAGTTAGACTTATATACCGCTTCATAGGGCTTTCAGCCCTCTCTAAGCAGTTTACAAAGTCAGCATATCACCCCCACAGTCTGGGTCCTCATTTCACCCACCTTGAAGGATGGAAGGCTGAGTCAACCTTGAGCCGGTGAGATTAGAACCGCTGAACTGCAGATAACAGTCAGCTGAAGTGGCCTGCAGTACTGCACCCTAACCACTGCACCACCTTGGCTCTCCTGAGGTGGAGGCTCCCCCCCCAAAAAAAATTCCTCCACAAATACTAAGGTGTGTCTTATACTCTGGAGTGTCTTATTTTCCGAAAAATATGGTATTTCACCATCATAATAAATCGGTTCTGTTTGGAAAAGAGTGAAGAAACACAACCTCAACAAGTGAATGAGTTTTAATATCAGTCTTTCAGTGGCCCTTTTTTTTTACTTTTTGTTTCTTTTACTACCAAGTCTGTCTGAAAACAGCAAACTTCCTTATTTTTCTTGGTGGAAACAGCTGAAACCCTTAGGACAGATCCCCTGCTGTAACAGTATTTGAATGTTTAATAGAAAGGAAGTTTTAATTTTGCTTATGAGTTTAGAAAACATGACTTAAGGCTGCAATAGTGCTGACTCCACAGCTGTGACAATAAAACCTCATAACTAAAAATAATATTTTAAATGGAGGATTTTAGAAGGGCTTAACTGTTTCCTCGTTTTTGTACATAATCTTAAATGTTACCATGCCATTTCTTCTCTGATGCCAAATAATGATTTTGCTAAGTAGCTAAATATGTCAGATTCCCCCTTTTTCTGATTTCTTCTGGAAGCTTTGGCAGCCTAGGGATACTGTATATGGGTAGAAGAATTCTGTCCATGGGTAGCTTGACTGTAACTTTTACCTCCTCTTATTTCTAGTAGTAAATTTAAAGGAAGGAATGTCATAAATTAAGGCCATATTAGTAAAATATTGTTTTGCTTTTATTCAGAATATTATACTCTATGTCCTGTGAATACCTAGGTTTATTGGAATGGGAGCCCAACATTTTAAGTTGAAAATGTGAACAATCATTGTATTTTAGCACAATTACTAATACACTATTGCAGTTTAATTAGCCTTTTTCATCATTTAAGGTGAACAAATGAAATAAATAGATAAAATACTATGCATGTTGAAATACCATATAAATATAGTATAAAGAATAATTTATTAGCAATAGAAATGATCCAGTCAAAGATAAAAAATATTTCATATGATTGATGCTCCCAGGCTAGCTTTCTTAGGATAAAGCATTGAATTCTACTTGCATCATAGCTAGAAAAATATTTTGATTCTTATCTTAAATTTTGATTAAAAGTACAGTGATCAACTATACAATGAGAATAAAGAAAAAAATTAAGAATAAAAAAAATCAGAGGGGAAATAGCACACAAAACAATTCTCACATGGTTTCTGAATATAATTTTATGGAATGATATAACATTTTAAATGTATGCATTCATTATTGTTGTCCCAAAGAAAGACCTTTGTATACATGGCGATACTCTATTAGGAGTTGTGTGATTATTAATTGAAGATTAAATGTGAATAAAATAGTCTTTAAATAATATTTTAGACCTTTATTTAAATAATATTTTAAACTTTTTAAAAAAAATTTTTTTTCAACAAATAATGTTTCTTACACCTTTAAACAATATTGATCTAGCGTACTTTTCACAATGGTACAGTACAATGGTGAGATTCACTTACCTTCGCTATTGGTTCGCAAATGTGAGCACACTTGAACTTGCGCTTATTACACTTGCACGCGCCACATTCTGTGCATGCACACTTCCTTCTGCACATGCGCAGAAGGTCATGCATTACATCATGGTAGGTGGGAGGAGCTACCAGCAGCAGCCACTACCACTTCGCCCAAGAAGAATACCACCACTGGTAGGGTAACTGTAACAGCTGATAAGAAATTAATTGATTGATTGTATTGTGTTATTTTCTAGCTCCCTTAATGGACAGTAAAGCTATAACAGCATTAATTATTAAAGTCTGTTGTGTATTTGTTTTTGTTTAGAAAATTTTTGACCAATATCAAAATTGGTTATTGCCAGCAGACATAATAATATAGGTATTGATTTTGTTGTCCTGGCTTTTCCAGTTGTTTTAAGAGGGAATAATGCTTTTGATTTACTCCCAATTAATTTATATATAGTTCTTTCTGAAACTGATACATATCTATTTGTAAACAAATGGGTGGGTGGATGAAAGGAGAGAAATTCCTCTTCTCTTTGGGCAAGAGCCCTAGCAGGATTTAAGCAATCTTAGAAACATTAGTATCAGAGCTGTTGGAGAAGAATGGAAAGACAGCTCTGGTGATTAAGATTAAATATTTTTAAAACAACAGGGTTTACTTTCAATTGGGCTTGCCAACTGGTCAATACATTAAAAAAAAAACAATTTCAAGGAAGAAAAACATACATTGGGAGTTTTAATGGCGTAATATTGTTTTCCACTCCAGGAATTAAATGGGAGCCGGATGAAAATGGAGTCATTGCATTTGACTGCAGAAATCGAAAATGGTAGGTCATGATTATGAATTTCAGAAAAATTAAGCTGATAGAAACGGCCACTGTATATACTTGTTCAAGTTGTGCCCTGCACTGGAATGGCACAAGTAGTGAAAGGGAGGGAGTCAGTGGCACTTGTGTTTCTGGGCAAAAGAAAAAAAAAGTGAGTAATCTCCTGGTAGGTGGGATCTTGACAAACAGGCATGGCTGACTTGTAACAGGAGAAAGGTTGCTCACATAGACTCCTCCCTTCTTCCATTGCAGGGATGCCTTTTCCTAATTTCCTAATGTCCTGTATTGGTTAGAGTGGCCCTGAATGTGGATCCCAATGAATTCAATTTACATTCTTCCCTATTCCTCTTCTCCTGTCATCCAGGTATATTCAGGCAGCCACTTCTCCTAAAGATGTTGTCATTTTAGTTGATGTTAGCGGCAGCATGAAAGGACTTCGCTTAACTATTGCAAAACAAACAGTATCTTCCATTTTGGATACCCTTGGAGATGATGACTTTTTTAATATAATTGCTGTGAGTATCTCTATCTTCCTTTTCTTATTAAGCTGTTCTTTTATCATTGATGTTGTTCTGGAGTTCTTTGTACACACACACACAAGCACATCCTTGAAAATGTTATATACAAGATAGCTTTTAACATTGCACAATGATAGTTTTCACCAAAACAATAATTAAAAGGTTTAATATACAACAGGCAATTTATATATATATCAAAATATTTCAGAGTTGGAAGAATAAATATGTCATTGCCTGGAGCTTAACATATAAATAAAGTAATATCTTAGCAAATTTAATTCAACAAGGAAACACTAGATACAAAACATTATTTTATTAGTCCAAAGCTGGCAAATTATTGTGAGTCTCTTGTGTCAAAGCAAAAACCAGATCTTCTGTATGATAGTGATCAAAGGCAGTTTGAGCATACATATCCACTAGTGGAAGACCTTAACTACAGAAAAGTGAATTGCTTTACATCTGATAATCATGAAAAGGGAAACAAGGGATCTTTTCATAATATGAAATCACTACAGATAAGAGTTCTAGAAAGAACTATACAACTAGCATTGCATATTAATTGAATAAAGGTCCTAACTGTTATTCTAACAGACCAACTCTGTACTTAAAACAGGAAGCAATAAGGAGTAACATAAATCCTTGTGTGAATTCTACTGTAAATTAGTGATTAACAGGTACAGATTGGCCCAATAATAAACATTCCAGTTTTAAGGATAGTACATGAGAGGTACAAGGAATATCTCTGCTCATAAACAAACATGTACAGAACACTACCTTCCTAAGTTCCTGAACTGTTAACCTTATAATAATGCCTTGGAAACTTGTTCTGTGGATAGTCAAGTACTCTAAGGATCCAATGCCATCTCTAAGGTGAAAGGCAAGGTTCAGTGCCTCTCTGAGTGATGAGGCTTTCAAAATTGTTGCAGGCTCAAAGTAGGCAAGGTCAGAAGGAATCATTTATGAGAATCCTCACCTGAGGTGATGCAGTTCCACTTCCATCAGTACTTGGTCACCGAGACCGAGAAGGTCGAAGTAAGAATTGAACATCAAATATGCTCCAAGGCTAGAATCTTTAGTTCAGTTTATAAGGGATAATCTTATCCCTTATATTTAGTATTTAGGATTGCTGAGAAACAAATTATTAAAAAAAATTAAAAGCAACATATATTTTCATAATACTTTTTTGAAATATTTGGAAGCTTTTATTAAAATAAGTTTTAATTCTTGGTCCATGACGACACATTTTCTTAATAATATGTTTCTACAATCTTAAATAGATTTTGTACATTACTATGTTATGGAATAGCTTAAGAATCCAAATATTTAGAAATAGTAATCTGTTAAATATATATTATTGCTCTATAATTACTGGAAATTTGCTTTCAGAAGCCTGTAGAACACACCTACTTTCTCAGACAGGAAACATTAACATTTATGTCATATATCATAGTGACATTTATGTCATCATAGTGCCTTTATTCATCTATAGTTAATAATTATATTTTTATTAGTGGAAGTTCACAACCTAGGAAATCACAATATGTCTGAAATAAATTTCTCAATCCCCGGCATCCAGTATTGGTTCTAACAACAGCCTATTAATTGTCTGTGAATTCAGATCGCCGAACAATTTTCAATTTCTGTCATAGGCTATCACTGAAATTCATTTGCAAGCTGATTCCAGTTCTTTTGTGTTCAGTCATAAAGTAATTACATGTTGTTAGATAGACATCAGTTCAAACATAATCTTCATTTAAGAAAGCCATGGTTGGTTTACCCTAAACCTAGTTACTTGCTACATATGCCTTAATAATATATAATATAAAGTATAATAATAATATAAAGTGCTGCCATCCAAAACATTCTGGGGGTTTTATCCGACCCAGCTTAGAGTGGTTATACACATAGCCAAATTAATATTAGAAACAAAACTGTAGTGAAAGATTTATTATTTAATAGTGCATGGAAGACATTTTTGAACATCTGTATAGGGACTTCTAGACAAAGGTGTGGTGTGGGTTTGGACACAAATCTTGTTTTTATGGAATTGATGCGTCATTTCTGTATGAAATTGGGAACAGCAACTTTGTCACCATTCAACACTGCAGTAAAGTGTGATGCCACATATTTGCATTTATGGCAGCAGTTGCAGTAGTCCCAGTTACCTCTATGAGGCAAACCCTGAACAGTTGAAGTGGCATGTAGTCACATAATTGCCATTTGAGGCTTCCTGTTTTCCATTGACTGGCAGGATAATGAAATTGCAAGCCAGCTGCCAAGTGCCCAAATTGCACTTACATGACCATGGGCACATTGCAGTGGCTGTATTGTACCCATTGTAAACACCCATGTTCAGCACCATTGTAACTCCGAATAGTCACTGAACGAGTGGTCTTTCAACAAGGATTACTTGTATATATGCATCATACATTTGTTTATTACTCTCCCGGTGGAGATTTTTATGTCACATTTCTGAGAGCTGAAACAGATACAGATTTCTATAATCTATATACTGTACTGCTAAAATTCTCGTTGTCATGCCCTTTAATTGGATGAAACAGTGCATCATATGGCAACATTTTTTGAACCAAAGAACCTTAAGTGGTCTAACTCAGGAGTGTCAAACTGGCTGCCCATGGGTTGGATGCATCAAAGACAGGCCACACCCACCCCAGCTCCACAAATTGGAAAAACGTCACAAAATGTCACTTGACAGCAATGTGACACTGCGAGTTTAACACCCATGAACTAACTGGAATATGTCCAAAATCTGGGCCCCATGATTCCTAAGGAAATAAAATTTGGGAAAGTTGTTCTTGTTTCAGTATTACTGGCTACTAATATGCTTTTACTGTGGTCACGTGATCTTCATTTTCAACATTTTGTGATAATTTCCCAGCCTATCTTGCAATCCCTTATTCCCTCCCCCAGTTAGCAGCAGCCATTTACTTGTCTCATGAAAAGGAGTTTGCATGTTTTTCCTGGACCATGGCACTCCCCACATTCTCCCTCAACCTGTGTCACTTCACTGCATGAAGTGCAGCCCATACCCACGTGCCTTCCTTGACCATTACAATATCTCTTGTGTATCCCTACACATCTTGCCTGACCTGTGCTACTCCTGCAGGCCTTCCCTGTGGCATCTCTTTCATTTTCCACATGCACCCTCCCTGACACTCACCACCAGTCATGCACCATCCCTGACCGGCATGGCACCTTTTGTGACCAAGCCACTCTCCTAGCCCACTGCACTCCCCCCCCCCTATGTACTCTTCTTGATTCACACTGCACTTCTGCATGCACCTCTCATGCAGCCCCAGGCCTCCTTCCCAACCTGTGCTGCTCACCCATGTGATCCCTCTGACCTCTTACAATTTGTACATAATAAAATAAAAGGAACAGCAAGATTAAACATGAAATAATTAAATAATGATAGATAATATAAATGTGTATTACTATTAGAAATATATGTTGGTTGAATGTAATAACTATGATTAATTCTACTAGTTCTATTTGTATTATAATGTATGACACCCAGGTGCTACACTGTTCACGCATTGATACATATATATCAAATAAAATTTTAAAAAAAACGTGGAGGAAAAAAGGATCACACAATTCTTCTCATATGTGGCCAGTCTGGTTTTGCAGACTTAAACGTATAGTAGCCAGGTGCACACTTCTCATCTTCTTTATTTATCTTGTGGCAGTTGTCCCACTCAGAATAATTTGAATTTATTATCTCATAGAGATAATAGTTTTCCAGTATGCCATTAATTTAGAATAACCAAATTTATTATATTGTTTTAAAAGATTAAACATTGTTATTAAGCTCTAACTAAACACAAATATTATAAACCAAGGTAGACCAACATATTCTTCCCAACTTATGCAGTGCCTCTCATGCACCTTCATGTACCATTTCTGGCCTATACCCTTGCACAACTCTCACTTCCTCCCCCACCAGGGAGGGAGAAAGATGGGAAGAAAGGAAGGAAGGATTGATTGATTGATTGATTTGGAAGTTTATTTTTAAATAGAGGGTAGAAGTAGCAGTGGAAACAAGATTTAGTTGCTCAGTATCTCCATGCTACTAGTCCAAAATGAAAATAGCAAAATACCTGTACCATTTCAGAAGAAAATAGAAAGGAAGGAAGGAAGGAAGGAAGGAAGGAAGGAAGATTTGTGATACTTTTTGCCAGTTTCCCAAAAGGAAACTCAATGGGGAAACTGGTGGAAAGTCAAAAGTTGATCCTGCTCCCACTGCAGTTTTACCTAAATGTAATCATTCTCTTTCTTTAGATAAGGAAATATTTTTGAAACAATGACCCAAGAGATCACATGTTATCTAGTTATCACTAGTTTTCATTAACTATAAAGTGAGATGATTGTCATTGCAAAAGGTGGTATTGAACACTATTCCAGTCCTGTAGTTAAATAGTTCCGTTGTCTTTTGTATACTGGATTAATTTCATTTCATCTAATTTTGTTTCTTAGTAAATCCATGAATAAAGTTACCCAAAACTCCAGTGCGTAATATAACCATAAAAAGATAATACAACAAAAAAGAGGTGTGTCTTTCAGGGATTACTTATTGCAAAAACTATATAAAATTGATGGACTGTTGTAGATGATTGCTTTACCAAAGGAACTATTAAACTATGCATTTGCTTTTCTGTAGTTTAAGTTAAGTATAAGATCAGATCGGCAGTGCATGAACTGAAATGTCTGCAGTGATGAAAAAGAAATGTTTGCTTTGAAGTGAAATTCTAAGTGAAGCATTAAATTAACAATGTTATCATAAAACAGAGTGCTAATTCTGCCTGGGGAAAATGTTTTTATAGAAAAGTAGGCTATCTCTTAAGTGAACAATGATCTCAGAATTCTTCCAAATTTAATTTAAGTTTTTCATAGAAAAGATTTGAGAAGAAAAATGAATGCAGAAGAAGAAAGTATATTGATTATTATTGAGTTTGTATGCAGTAAATGATTGTTTGATGCCCAGAGTCACTTGCTCAAGGCAGACAACTCTAAGACATTGAACAAACAATCAAACAAATAAAATGAAGTAAAATAAAATAATATGGAAGAACTCTTGAGAGGCATAGTCTTACCTCAGCTGAGAATGATTTGTAGGATTCATTTAAGTTTCTAGGCAAGGGTTGCCAAGCTAAAAGAAGGGGTATGAATTGTCATCTTATTTCAGGAAGGAATGACTAGAGAATGGTTATAATTCATTAATGATACATTCCTGACAGAGAGAAGGTTTCTAATTCAATTCTTGGTACCTCTAAAAAATATTGAGTCCTTCATGAAATGTGTAAACTAGCCACTAGGCAGGGTAAAACAATACTGTAGTGAAACTGATAGCTTTAGGGACACCCAGTTGTGACAAAGAGAAAGGACTTTATTGCAAGGAGAAAACTGATACTGGAACTCTCTCCTTTCATCTTTGAAATTGCTTCTGACATTGAACACCACAAGGAAGGGGACATGTTATGAGTTGAACATGGAACAGCAACAAGGTACATTAGAAAAAATATCCTTGAAGTGAAGATAGGAAGGAAAGGAAGGAAAGGAAGGAAGGAAGGAAGGAAGGAAGGAAGGAAGGAAGGAAGGAAGGACAGACAATGCCACATGATGAGAAGAAAATGTAGTTTTAAGTAATTTTATCTTAAAAAAATAAAGAATGGTAAACAGTACCATGAAAAATGTCACAGTGTTCAACTTGAAATTTTCATTTTCATTAAGGATAAGATATCAAATTGACTTAAACTGTATTCAGATTTGGATTTTTCATTTTGAATGAGATACAGTATATTTACAACTGGCTCATCTGAGTTCACAGACTACTCTTTAAACAATCTTGAAACAAAAATCAATTTAAACGATTGGTGCAAGAAGAACAAATGTATCATTTCCTCTCAAACGCCGTCAGACTTGACTGAAAAAAAGAATTTGAGAATTTTGTGCCTCTCAACATTCACTTGAATGTGCCCTGCTGGGAATCGTGGCTCTGATCTCTTAATTGAAGCTATAAAATATTTTAAACAGTA